TCCCTACAACAACCAGAACCCTTACAAGTGCAGGTATATACATGACATGAAAATATTGCTTCACTCAAACAGGGGGAGGAGAGCGCTAGAGAAAAAGCATGCAAAAAACCTCTGGACCTAGAGAAGATCCTGCTTTCAGACACTGATCTACAGTACAAAATGAGCCTACTTGTACAGGTTGCAGAAGGTTTTTGAAATCAAAATGCTGGCACTTACTGTACAATAATGTTAACCGATTAACAAAAGCAGTGAATAAATATTAAGCCACTCCGCAGAGCCTGCACAAGCAGCGCAGGCGATTGCAGTGGCAGAGAAAGCAATGCAGACATACTTCATTGTTCCCAAATAAAACAAGAATAGAGAAATATTTCCCAAGCAGGAAACAGTAAACTACACAGCCAGACTAACTGTATTAAGGATAATTACGTAATAAGTAATGTTATTTTCAACAGCTTTATGTGTGTGCAACCACTAAAAACCTCACTGTGAGACTTATCAGGACAGAGAACAGAGCATTTGGTAGGACAGCTATTTTCTTTTTGATTTCTCCCCCATGCTTAGAAACATGAGAGAAAATGTGACTAGGAGAGGAAAAAAAAATTGTGACCTAATGTTTTTTCTTCAACTGTTATAATCAAGTCCCCATGGTTTCTCTCCCAGAAAAAAAAAGAAAAAAAATAACACATTTGAGGAGAGTACTTCATGGGATAATATCCAGCAGCAGATGTTCCAACACAAACATGTCTATCAGATCAGTGCCTAGATTTCAAGCCCAAAAGTCATCACATTCAAGGGGATTTCAGAAACAGGGGAATGTTAGCCCTAAAATTAAAGCTCTAAGATGAAAGGAGGGGTTTGGGGATGGGGGGAAAGGAGGGAAGAGGGAGTCACTGAATCACAGGAGATAAAGAAGTGCACACAAGTTTCTAAATGAAGCACAGACGAAGTGAGGGGCACAAAAGTCATCTACAGAAGGTCACAGGTTCTGACAGCACTGGAGTTTGTTGGATTTCTGTCCGTCGGTGGTTGGTGGGACGCTGATGTCGACAACGTTGTTGCCAGGAGACTCATCGTGTGCAGATCGATCCGCAATCTGCTTCTGCGAAACAATGCGGTAGATTTCTGAAAGGAGAACGGACTCGTTAGAGCACAGACGGGCATTTTCTCCAACAAAGAACATACAAATCTCCACACAAGGTGTCAGAGAAGAGTAAAACCCAGGATGGAAGAGATTTCATGTAACTGGAGAGCTGTTAAAGAGAATCTGGTGTGACCAGCTGCAGAGCGTAACAGCTGGCCAGCTTACCAGCTCTGAAATGGATATTCTCCCTCTTTCCTGGAAAAGTT